ATTTTTTGGTTCTATAGGTCAGTAATTTTCAACTTTGGCTTTGCCACAATCCAAGAAAATTAGTTGCATTTTCATTTTATATATATTGACTCAATGGTTACTATGCTTAAAGTATAATATTTATAAATCTAAGTTATAATTGTATGACCTATGACATTTTTGAATAAAAAAAGGCATGAGATCCTAAAGATTGCCAGAAAGATAAGTTTTAAAGGGAAAGAGTATACCAGTAACCTAAAAGGAGAAAAACAATTTTCATAGTAATTTTATATCTGTTTTCTGAAAGCAAATGAGTTAATTTATGTATGTGTACATATGTATATCTCTAACTATACAATAAGGCAAAAAAAAATAGTAATGGAAAAAAGCAAAATCACTTTTATTGAAGAAAAGTTTCAAATAATAGATTTTATAAAATCTGTGAAGACAAAGAGATTAGTAGTACTTCAGTTTAATATTTTAAACATACACAAAAAGAGACATGAATATGAACAAAATTAATGTGAAACAAAAAAATGTAACCATTAAAAATGAGAAACTAGAGACAAGGCAATTAGAGAAATTTTGAAATTGGGGGAGAAATGAATTGAGCAAGAGATGAAAGCTCTAGATAATGTAGGCAATCCATTTTAAAGCTCTGAGTCAGATCTTGCTGAAACAGAGAATCCCTGTATAATACTCTGGCAGAAGAGAGTATTGTGGCCTCATTCTAGGAAAGAGCTGGGTTGACTTACTAAGGATGTACTAATAGGTGAAATGGAAGACTTGTAGCAAGTCAGATGAACCTGGACCAACATATGGTCTCTATCTCTCTGCTCAAGTCTTTTTTCTAACCATTCTAGATGACAGGAATTTGACATTGCTTATGGACTACACTACTCAATTCGGCACGTATTTGGAATCTGGTGTTTCATACGCATATATCTTCCCAACAAAATCATTAACTTCTGAAAAGCAGAAGCTACCCTATTTGTTTTATTTTATTTTATCCTCACCCGAGGACACTTTTTCATTCTTTGTTCAGATAGAGCAGGAGGGAGAGAGAGAGAGAGAGAAACATCGATGTGAAAGGGACACATCGAGTGGCTGCCACCCGCACGACCAACCAGGGCCGGGGACAAACTGCAACCGAGGTACGTGCCCTTAGCGGGAACCGAACCCGGGTCTCTCCGGACCGCAGGCCGACGCTCTAACCGCTGAGCCAAACCGGCCAGGGCTGCCCTATTTGTTTTATTTTCACCCATATAACCTAGCACAGAACTAAGCATCTAGTAAACATATGATCAAGCCTATTAATATTGAAAACTCACAACATACAATCAGAACACCAGATCAGAATTTGAGGAAATGAGAGATCATCTAGTCCAGACTCTTCATTTTAAAAGCAGAAAAAATAAGAGTAGTTACATGTCCACTAACCTAAAGTCAGAGCTGGGATTAGTTCATTTTTTTCCCAAAGCCTCTAATTTCCTCAAAGCCTCCAATTTCCTCCATTATGATAAAATGAATAATCACCTATTTCATCAAAACAAAGTTAATAGCACCAGTATTTACTATATGTCAAGACCTTTAGTAGGTTAGATTTGATTGGCAGCCTATATGCCTAGGTCTCTGCTGACTGCTCTATACACATTATTCTATTTTATACTCATAATGACTCTAAGAGGTAGATACTATGAACCCAATTTTTAAAATGCAGAAAATGTAATTTGACCATGATGATAGTAAGTGGCAGAACCTAGATTCTCAGTTTGTAACCAAAACCTTGGCTTTAAATCAGTATCCTGTACTGCCTCTCAGTGAACTTACCACAAAAATCCCAGTCTCAAGAGTCCAATACAGTGCCTGACACAAACAAGATAAACGAACATTTGAATGACTGACTAAACAAGTGGATTATTTAATTTAAAAAGTTCTCTCACAGCAAATACCTCTAAAAAGGGCTCATTGTTCATCTAATTACATAATACCCTAAGAAAGGTTTTAACAGTGAGCAGTTTGCATACTAACAGATCTAAGGAATGGTTAATTTTTTAACCTACAAACAGCTCATCTATTCAACAAATATTTAGTGAGAAATTATTTTTGTAACACAGTGTTAAAATAGAAGATGAACAGTAATATAAAACTTGTTCCTGCAAAGACCTATTCCACTAAGTTAAAATACACACAAACTTCTAAACCATTCACCAAAACCAAATTAAATGTTTAATACTCCCTCCTATTTCTGGTACAGGAAAAGAGGTAACAACTGAGTACCTACAATGTGCCCGTTTTTGAACCTCAACATACAGGCTCACCTAATCCTTTACAGCCAAGTAAACTAGATAGGCAACATCTCCACTTTTTGATGAACTGAGGCTTTAAGTGATTAAGAATTTGTCTCAGATCACTTAGCTAATTACTATAAATCCAGAATTGGAACCCAAATCTACCTAAAGGGGCTAAAAGTATTATTGTTTCATTTGCTCACCAAGACAGAGAATGAATTTCTTTCCAAGGGAGACCGAAAACACTGCTTATTTTACAATAAAAAAGACATTATATCATTAATACAGTAGCTTATTAGTAATTATTATTTCATCCCATTAATATAAATAATGAAGCTAGAACTCAGTGAAGTAGCTTGTCCGAGAACGCACTGCAAGAAAGCAGAACTATACCAAGTCTGCACCAGGTGTGGATGCAACACTAACCACAGAAAAACTGCAGAAAGACCTCAGCCCTGTAGTTAAAAGCTTAAGACCCAAAGCATCTAAACTAATTAGGCCCTGAGTGTTGGGTGAAAAGGAATAGTAGATATCATTTATACAAACTTTCACTTTTTTTCAATTTTTATTAATTTATTTTTGTTACAGATGTTTCTCCTCTTTCCCCCATAGACACTCTCCTTCCCATCCCGCACCCCCACCCCCCTGCACTGTTGTCTATGTCCATTGGTTACAATTACATACATATAAGTTCTTTGGTTTATCTCATCCATCCTCACCCCCCACCCCCGCCCTCCTTCTCTGAGGTCTGTCAGTCTGAACTGTACTCCTTTCTATGTCTCTGGGTCTATTTTATTCATCAGCTTATTTTGTTCATTATATTCCACAAATAAGTGAGATCATGTGGTATTTGCCTTTCTCTGATTGGCTTATTTCGCTTAGCATAATGCTCTCCAGGTCCCTCCATGTCGTCTCAAAGGATAAGAGATCTTTCTTACAGCAGCATAGTACTTCATTGTGTGTATGTACCACAGCTTTTTTATCCACACATCTACTGATGTACACCTGGGCTGTTTCCAGATCTTAGCAATTGTAAATAGTGCTGCTATGAACATAGGGGTACATATAGTCTTTTTGATTGGTGTTTCAAACTTTCACTTTCAACGATGAGGAAGTAAACGTTCTAGTAATATTCTATTAAATGCCAACCTGAAGATTGGTCTCTAAACTTCAAGCCTACAGGTCATTCCATTATATCAAGCAATCTCTGGACTTGTTACCAGTTATAATTATTCTTGAAGTACCAAACAATGTAGTATTTCACAAAGCAAAGGTTTATGAAGAAGGAACAGTATGTTAAAATACACATATAATCAACATTTAAGTATCTGAAATAGTTTCACAGGAATAAATGAGTAGAAATATTCCTTGGCAACATTTTCAATGCATCATCTTAAATCTACTTTGTCTATACTTCTTGACATATTTTCAGGGCCTTGAGTGTGAACTAAAAGAGAGATATCTCCAATCCCAGTTCTGAAAATAGTACGTACCACTTTGGTTTAAAAAAAAGAACCCAACAAAACGTTTAGTTTTACTGTCCAGTCCTATTTATCAGAAATGCAGAGTAGCCTTTTCTATTGAGACTGACCCAGGTATATTCCTAAGGAACTGTCTCCCATCTCTTTTCAATTAATCAAAGTAAAGAATAAGACCGTAGCTGAATATTCTTATAGTACATGGATAAGTGCTTGTCTTTACTGACGTTTTACTAAATAATATAAGCATGCTACAAATAAAAATCCAGAAATAAAGAGAACCAACGTGGCCAGGTACAGACTTCTATGTTTGTTCACCTTACTACAACACAAAGATTATCTTCATCCTTTAGTCTCATAAAAACTACAGGGGTTCTTCAGGAAGCTTTGCCGCTGCCCATCCACACATCGCTATAGATCATTAAAAACAAGAATGCATCAAGAACTGCTTCCAGGCCTGAACTAGCACTGGTTCAGCTATACACTAAGAGGTAAGCAAGTACAGAATGTGCCTGATCCTGGAGCGGGGGCACTGTTTACTTACATGGGAAGAGATTCATGTTGTGATGGGTAACGTGTTGCACTGTCCTCCCCTGGCTCCAAAACAAACAAAAACAAAAACGGTACTTTGACAAGCTAATGTGAGAGTGGGTCTGTTTCCAAAAGTTTTGACCTCCCTTTTTCCTCGCTTAAGGACAAACGCTGAAATAGGACATCCGACACAAGATGCCTGAGGTGCTGCTTAAGGAATAACGTGGAAGGGCATTTCTTTACCCAAGAAACTGTGTTCTTACCCTGTCCTCCCCCACAGTGAGCTACATGGGAGGAATTGACAGCGTCATTCACCAGGGGGAAGGAAAAGAAGAAATCAGAACCAGATGCGCTTCCTCCTCCCCCAGAGAAGCTTGGGGCACGACGAGGGGCTTCAGGCGCGGTTCCAAGCCAGCACCAGGCCCCCGCCGGCTTGCACCCGCGAGCAGCGCGGCCCCAGGGCACAACCGTCACCATCTCCACCTCGGTCCTCCCGGCACAGCCAGCCTGCGTCCCAGAGCCCGCCCCGGCCGGCCCGCCCCGCTATCTCCTCCCCCGTTATCCGCTCGCAGCTGCGCTCGGGCCTGGATTTGCCTCCCCGCCCTCCCAAACTTCGGCACGTTCCACTCTCCCACACACGTAGGCCACCGCCCTCCGCGAGTCCGGGGGAGAAATGTCCGGAGGCCTTAGGGCGAGGGATGCGCTCGGCGCGGCTCCTCACCTCTGGGTGGAGAAGAGGCACGCAGCCCGCTTCGGTATCGTACTCATCCGGGCCGTCCGCCATCTTGGTGTTAAATCCCTCCTCCCGCTGCATGCCGGGAGAAAGCGTTTCACCCTCGCGGGGCTCGGGTGAGGCGGAGGGCGTGCGGGAGGGCGAGCGCGAGCCCGGCCGGAGGCGACGCCAACGCCGCCCTCTCCTTCCCCTGCCCCCCGGACGCCCCCTCTACCCCCTCCCTCTCGGAGGGCGCGGGTCCCTGCGCGCGTGCGCGCGAGCGCGCGAGCCGGGCCGGCCCCGAGCGAGAGCGCGCTCTGCTGCACTGCGCCGGGCTGGCGGAGGGAGGCTCTGGGCGTGGGCTCCGCTCCTCGGGGGCGGGCCGCGGGCCCCCGGCAGATGTGCGCCTCTGGTCGCCGCGCGTAGGCACCCGGACAGCGACCGAGTCAGTAACGTGGGAAAGCCGGCTGCGGCGCGGGAGCGCGCGCACGGACCCGGGAGCCGCGGAGCCTGGTCGGGGCCCCAGGCAGCCTCGGTGGGCCATGCCCACAAGCCCCCGGTCCCGCCCCGCGACCCCTTCTCAGACACCCGGGGCGGGACCATCACCCGCCGCCAAGGTTTGGGGACCTCGCTTGAATCCAGACGTGCATCGCTGTGAAGACAAAAGACGCACCCTGTTCCTCCACACTCAATAAAAGTAGCCCTGAAATGTATGCCCCCACTTTGGCGGGGGGGGGGGGGGCGCCCGTGAAAACATCAATAATGCTTGGGGCTTCCTCCTAGAGAAGCCTTTTAAGATTGATCCCAACCCGTCCTCCTCGGTCTTGAGTGAACAGTAACCACTTAAAAACTGTACGTCCTCAAGGCCCCCACACACCCTTCTGTTACATTTTAGTGTAACCCAGAAAGGCCGGACTGAAGTGTTTAGTTCGCTGGACAGGGAACCAGATGAAATGGTTAAAGCCACTTTTAAACGGATATTAGGGCCGTATGGGGTGGGGATTTCTTCCTGGAAATGTAGTGATGGGACAATTATAGAAAGCATTCATTTTTGGTTTTAGCTATTAAAAAGTGTAAATCTAAACTGCCCAGAGGAAGATTTAGCAGAGATCATGAGATATGACCTATCAGAGATCCTGGTACTAACCTGCCTGGTGTTGAAGTCAAATCCGCCAAAACCAGGAAGAAGTCTGCAATCCACTAGTGTCAGATTTATTTGTGAATCGGGAGGAAGGGCCCTCCAGGGGACGCGTGGATATCACTGGAAAAGGAAGGAGGCTGAAGCGTCTTTTGTAAGGTTTAGGTTCCCGCCAAAGGAGACGGGAGGGTCTGGGGAGAGCAGGGATCAGTTCTGGATTGGATGCTGTTTTTGAGGCGGCATTAGGAAAAACAGGGATTAACCGGGGATTGGATGCTATCGCGAGGAGAGGGCCATTTAGTGACTGGGTAGCCCAGTAATGAGTAAAAATAGCAAAGTGGGCCTGGATGTCGTTCATAAGGGAGCAATATTACTAAAAGAAGATAAGGCATTTTACAGTCGCTGCATGCCAGTGGGAAAATCAAGGTTCTCTGTAAACCTCGCAGCTGGCTTTATCTGCGTCTGTCCTCCTGTTACTGCTGCTTTTTCTCATTTCAGCCAGAGCTGATTTTCATTCTTTTTATCCTGGCCCAAATCAAGAACTTTGGTTTGGACTCTTTCACCCAGCCTGCAGAACTAGACAGAATTAGAGTCTCTGCCTTCGGAGCTCCAAACTGCTTTCAGATGCATTTTAACGTGAACAGAAGTTATTTTCATTTAAGCAATTCAAATTACATCTTGCCCCTATTTATCCTTACACCATGCATTTACTGGGGATAGAGAGAAGAAGGGAGTGAAGAAAGGAAACAGTGGAAAAGTTGGGAGATGGGGCAAAGAAGGTATTGAATTATAGAAGAGTGAAGAATCTAGTCATGGAGAACAGGAAAGAATGTTTCATGGGTGCCCGTATATTAGGATTACTGGGGCAGGGGCATTATGAGTAGATTTCAAAAAACAAAGATGTTTATCTTTCCCAGTGATCCTAGTTTCACAGAGGTCCTAAATGGAAGGAGGAAGGGCCAAATTCACTTAGCAAAAATGTTTCATTTGGTCCACGTGGTAGTTTTCCAAATATATTTTAAGTAGATACCATAAATTAGTAAATCAGGAGATTTTACCTTAAAATCTAGATTTGTGTTTATCTAGAAAACAGACAAGTGCCCAGGGCCTCCCTAATTCTGTATATGGGAGCAAATTGCTCTTGTTAAGCACAAGCTTTCCATCATTTTACTACTCCTTGGCGAGACAGGCTGAGCCTCTCTTAAAGGGATGGGAATGCTCTTCGGTGATTTTTTTTAAGCCTCTCCTAGACAAGTTTAAAGTTTCTCTTCAGGCACTCCCCAAAGAGCTCCACTCCGCGCCTGTGTGAAGAGCCCGGTTCTATATAAGTCAGACCTGGCAGCAGTTCCTGGAGCCATATTCCTTATTAGTATGTGCTCCCTTAATGCAGCAAGATCCTTCCCTTTCTCCTTTCCCTCCACCTTGTTTTCAGTAAACCTCTTCTTCTGAATCTGTTTTGCCTCTTCTCTTGTTTCTATCTTGAGGAGGGTTCAAGAACTTTGCCGGTGACATTGAGAATAATTCAAGGTGTGGCCATGCCAGCCAATGCCACTAAGTTTCACTCTTTGCCTTTTGACCCACAACCTCTGCCGTGTTCCAGGGCACCTATAAACCCAAAGGAACTCCCTGAGCACCTGTGGGTTGGGAGCTAGGAGGAATGTCTGAGAAAGGCTTAATTGAACAAGCTTGAGACTTCTTCCCTTCCCTTCCTTTCCCTTCCCTTCCCTTCCCTTCCCTTCCCTTCCCTTCCCTTCCCTTCCCTTCCCTTCCCTTCCCTTCCCTCAATCCTTACCTGAGGATATTTTCAGAGAGAGTGGAAGAAAGGGAGGGAGAGAGTGAGAAAAACATGGATGTGAGAGAGATACATGGATTGGTTGCCTCCTGCACTGGGGCCAGGGTTCGAACCTGCAACCCAGGTATGAGCCCTTGACTGGGAATTGAACCTCAACCCTTTGGTGCTCAGGCCAGGGCCCTAACCACTGTACCACATCAACCAGGGCTAAAAGCACCACCCCCTTTTTCTTTTTTAATTTCAGAGAGAGAGGAAGGGAGAGGGAGAAATAGAAACATCGATGAGAGATAATATCAATTGGTGGCCATCTGCATGCCCCTCACTGGGGTTTTGGCCCATAACCTGGGCATGTGCCCTTACTGGGAATCGAACCAGTGACCTCTTGGTACATCACAACAATAAAACAATAATCTCCCACATCTTTTCCACATCTCCACCCATCCTCTGCTGGCCTCCTATATACTGCCATATAGTTAGTGTCATTTATGTTTTTCAGAATGACTACTGGGCTTAGAAGACTAAATTCTGCACATTTTTACTGACCCAAACTCACACTAAGAACAAATTGGGTGTTATGCTTTGTCTTAAAAAAAAAAAAGAAGAGGGCTTTGATTTGGCTGTTGTGACACATGAAGTAAGTGGACCCAACTATGACATCCACTCTTTCTGTTACCCTGATTCTAGGACAATATTCTTATGTTTCAGGCATACTTATCTTAGGGCTGGAAACAGCAATAGGCATGGTGCTAATAAGGGTCTTAACTGGTTATGCAGGACCCCTGCCAAGGTGCCTGTTCAGTAGGGCTTTAAAAGCATAAAGGTTTATATCAGGGCTTCATTAGGACAGTATGGGTGTGTGGTAACTATTGTAAGCCTAGGCTGTGACCAGGTCACTTCCACAGTGTTCCCCAGCAGTGCCTTCTCTAATCTCCTCCGAAAGCTCCTGGTCTTATCATTGAAAGCTATAACCTAATTGGTTTATGTCCCCTAAATCATTAGATCAGGAACCAAAGTTCTCTCACTGGCTTATTTAACCGTAAGAATCAAACAGAGAGTTGGAAATCTAACTATAGTTGTTTCAACTGCTTTATCCTATTTAGGAAATAGTTTAGTAAATCAAAACATTGTTCTATCCAGATTTCCAGGCTAGTCAGATCACCTGGGTTTGAATCCCAGTCTCATCATCTTAATTCTGTGACCTGAGGATGTTACATACGTCCTCTGGCAGCAATGTGCTTGCATAGTTACTGTGCCATTTCTTTTCATCTTACTCGGGCTTGGATAGCTCTGACAGATACTCTCATTTATTGTGATATGGTGTGGGTGACTTTTACTTTCCTCCATATCTGAGTCCTGATTGACTTCCACTCTTAGTTTTTATTTGAGGACAGAGTATTATTTTATCTTCTGTTTACTTTTTTGTACCTCAAGGAAATGGTGAGAGATAAGCTCTGTTGAGGCAAGAGACAGGCTGCATTTGAAAGCCTGAGTCATGCTGTCCCCGCTGTGTGTTTGTTCTAGCTGAGAATGACATGTCATTTCCACAGGGAGATATCCTCAGGCACCAGGTAGTCTCCCCATCTTAGTGAGCCATCCAGGAACTTTTACTTTCAGTAGAATCAGCCCCACAGTTTGCTTTCCCCATATCACCAGCTTTTGTTGCAGCTATTTCTAATAATGTATAATGAGGAAATGAAAAATGTAAGGAGATCCAGTACATTTTGGGGATACCAGTGTGACTCAGAATTTGGCATATTTGTCAGTGTAGCTTGAGATGGGTAGGTGGATGAAAGGGCAAAGTTAAGAAGTAAGCCCAGTGATCTGCTCTGTTTCAAAATCTTCAGTTTCTTTGTGCACCTGCCAGTTTATAATTTTTCTTTTTCTTCCATATTTTGTTTGCTGAATTGGTAAATTTTATCAACTGCTTTTTAAATTTATTTATTTATTTATTTATTTATTTATTTATTTATTTATTTATTTATTTATATTTGTTTATCCTCACCCAAAGATATTTTTCCATCGATTTTTAGAGTGGAAGGGAGGGAGGGAAGGAGAGAAACCTTGATGTGAGAGAGACACATCAGTTGGTTGCCTCCCGCACAACCCTGACTGGGGCCAGGGATCAAACCTGCAACTCAGGTACATGCCCTTGACTGAGAATTGAATGCAAGCAACCCTTTGGTCCACAGGCAGACACTCTAACCACTGAGCAACCAGCCAGGGCTAAAGTTTCTTTTATCTTTATGATTCTGATTGTAATGATACCTTCCTAAACAAATGATGATTTCCTTTTAAACTGTCATAATAAAACGTCTGAACTGTCTGTAATTAACCTCTGTTTTGTTGTTCTGTCTGGTAGTTTTTACCATCAGAAACTTTTTCTGGATTTCTATCCTAAACTTCTCATGTTGTAGGTCTTTTTTATTTTATTTTCTTCTCAATCTTCTTAATATTCTTTTTTTATCTTCCTAACCTACATCATTCCCAGACAGGTAAAGTCTTATTATTAAAACCTAAGGAAGACTTCATCACTAAGTACCCCTTCTCCCACTTTTAAATCATTAATGCACATGATAAATGAGATGAGACACAGTCCTAACACCCAAAGGCAGTGTATTAGATAGTCTGTCTCTCGGGTAAGAGAAGCTAAACTGTTGTAGTTGTGGTATCTGGTATTCTCTGCTCTTCTCTCCCAGCTTACACCCTTCCAGGCTTCACTCAGAGAGAAGATGGCATAGCTAAAGATACCACATTAAGAGAATGAGATAGATTGC